TTCCTTTTTTTATTAGATGTGAAGTGCAATTCTCTCGAGGAGGAAAGTTTGCTTCTGGATGATGATGAACCTTTCCATGAGGACAATGACGTACACGAATCGGTTCAAAGCCCTGTCGCAATTTCTGCTGAAGAGCGGAAATCAAGATTCAGGCACCGGTTTGCCAAACGAAATCTTGTGCCAACTCCAGCAGTGGTTGAAGGTAAGTTGTTCGAGTGGATAATTTTGAACGAAAATTGTGAAGGTAAAATAGAACTTCATAGTAAAATACAGTAAAATCTCCTTACGACGATTATCGCTATAACAAATAATCAATTACAACGGAGTCGTTTTTATAGGTGTCACCCATAATAACCACAATACTGTATTAAATGAGTTACTTTTCAACGAATTTTCCTTATCACAACAATGCTATTTAACTGTTGATGACTTTATTTCACAAAGGGAGAGATTTATGCAATTCACCATTTACACCAAAATCTTGTTACAACAAAGCTACTGATATGGTCCTTGAGCTTTGTTGTAACCAGATTTTACTGTGAATATAAATGCAAATTGTGTAGCTCTCGCACTCTGTGAAAATAAATGATAATCACATTTTTCAGAATTATCCCTTTAATTTTGTTCCTTTTCTCGCCTATTTTTTTTATCAACTTTCTACAGTGTTCGATCAAAGGCATTCCACTAATTCTCATTTCTTCCTTTGTGGAGATCAAGCCACTTTTGGTGGTTATAGACTGGGATATACTGCAGAAACTGCATTTTCTAAAATACCATTGATCAGCTTGATCCTCTTTTATTTTCATGGAAAATAATTTCAAAAAAAGTTGAAAATACTGTTTGGCCCATTATACTGACCACCGACCTGAAGTCCTCAAGAAGTAAAACAAAAAATGCATAATCCATGCAAGAAATCAAATTTAAACATATGACCTTGAGAACCGCTAAATACTGGCTAAATTTCCTAAAATCTGAACATAAAATTGAATTATATGTGGTTAGAAATTGACAGTGTTTTGTCTATGGCGTCTATGAGGCAGTACTTTCCTGATGAATCTATAGATTGATATTCATGCTGGAATATTGGTGCTGTAGGAATGTTCAAGCAAAATTTATTTTTTCTACAGGTATGAGTGACATCTATTATTCAGAATTGCAAGTATGCCATCTATCCCAAATGATTGACGCTGGGATTAATCAGGAATATTCATGGCTCTTGTTGCAGATCATGGATTAATGTGGGCCAGTATCCGACCAATATACGTGAATGTTGCACAATGGAATTTGCAGACAGTCTCTGAAGAGCATCAGGGGACGTGCAATGGAAAGCATGACAGAAGCTTGCCTGCTGACTTTTTGATATTCAAAAAGGATCTTCACAGTCCTTGTATGGTATTTTCCACCAGCTGGAATAAATCTCCATGTCATGCATGCTATGATACCCTTATCCATGCCATTTCAAAGGAGAAAGTGAAGGTTAAATTGAAACCTTTGATGCTTGAAGAGCAGCAAATTGTTCCTGAGTCTTCTGACAAAGGTGAGCTAAGATAACCCTTATATGACCCGAGAAAATGCCAAACTTAAGATTTTACCCATGATTTTCTTGCAGTGTTGTATTTGCAGGGCTTTTTTTTATGATCTGCTTGATTGCTTAAAAATGGTAAGCAATGAAACAAATTTATAGCATATTTAGAGCTGCTTCATCAATACTCTTACACAAAGCTTAGAACTANGTGATGAAGCTTACAAATTTCCGATATGAATCCCGCTAATCGAGATGTGCTGCAGTAACTTTATTTTCCATCTCTTTCATGAAGCTGTCGTTCCTGACGTCACAGGGCAGAGTGCTGCTGTGGGAGAGAATCCGATGAACATTTTGGAAAGTCAATTAGAATTCAAGCTTTCCTTCCCGGAGTTTTCTGGAGAAGCGGAGATGAAGGAATGTGAGTGTGATTCATTCATTATTTTCTACAATTACAGAAAATCCTAACTTAACTCTGGATGAGACTCTTTAACTTTTTAAATTACCGATAAAACACAGAATATTATAAATCTAGTCAAGTTTAATTTGCTCTGAAAAATCAATTAAGGAAACTGAGTTCTGGTCATTGTTTTATTGTCAGCATTATTTATTTATTTATTCCTCACTGCAATCATGGAGTAGCTTCACAATGTTATTCACATCCTCAAAACTTTGAAGTCTCCCAAGAAATTCAGCACAGCATGATGGAGTGCGTGTTATGAAATTTTCCTAAATTTTAAAATATTGTAGATGAGTTTTCGCTCGAAAGCTGTCTTCGTGTAGATTGTTTTTTTTTTCAGGAAGAGAATCAACTGAGGAAATTCCTGGGTACATGTTTTATTAAAAGTGATGCATATATCATGTACCAAGAGGTATAAAAAAGTGAGCACTTGTAGCGAGAGAATGGTTAAAAGGAATTTAAATTGGTTTTTTTTTTTAAATAAAATTATGCAGTCTTGTGTGGATTTCAAGGGTAAGTTTTCTTGGGAATGTCCTGATGAAGAAGAGTGCTCACTTTTAAGGTTTTTTTTAAAAATTCATATAAATTTTTTATGTAATGTTTTTCTTTCCCCTTGAAATTCATGAAATGCTAACTTGTTTTGACTACCACTTTTTGCTTTTTAACTGACTTACTTTTCAGGACTTATTGTGACTTGGCATTTAACTTTTCTGTATCATAAAACCATCCTCGACTCTTCGAAAGACACATGAACGCCATGTTCAATTACAACACCGCAAAATAAGTGGTGATACGTATTGCATAATTTAAAAAAATCTAATAAATTAATTGACCATACTAAAATCGTTGTGTGTAAATTTTTTTAAACCCAGGTTTTCTGTCATTTTTCAGATGCTCCGGATTATTTTGATGATCTCGGAGAGACTTTTGAAGCCTTGAGCAGACCGGCATCCCCTGCAAGCCATGTTTCCCCGAATGATGATGAGATTGATGATACTGAGGTGGATGAACTGGCCGGGTTTAACTTGCCGCCACCAGAACATATTGCATCTTTTGCTGTTGACCCAGCATTTCCCGAGGCTGAGGTCACGATTGACACTCAAAGTGAGTTTCATTTGTTTATCATAGTATTCATCACAAATATTCAGTGAATGCAGTATGTAATCATATACAGGTGGTACCTTGCAATTTGACCCTGTTACATTGCCAAACTAGGGTCGAAGTGCAAAACAGTCAAATTGTGAGACACTCCATGAAATTCAAAAATAAAAGAACAAAAAGGCAAAAAAAAGTGGCCAAAGCAGGTCAAATTGTAAGACAACCTCTGTGCAAATTTGAACTTCAAATTGTGGGAGGTCAAAATGCAAGGTACCACCTGTACATGCATGGTTTTAACTGATGAGTGATGTCACAGAAGTGCATTCATATCACATGTGTAATGCAGAAGCAGGCTTCCCTAGTGTGAAAATCTTGGCCCTAATAGGTTATACATCAAACAAAATAAGAGAAGATAATATTGCAACTGAATTTTTCCTTATTTATTCTTTGTTCAAGACATGGATATTAGGCTTCACATAGGATCAAGCAAAGACCCAGAAAAGAATGTCAACCCATGCTTGTTGCTGTAAGCTCCTCCATGAAACAGTCTCAAGTAGATCTTGTCCCCAGGGACCAGTTTCAGCACTGCAGT